ACCTCCACGAGCGAGTGGGCAGGCATCCACCAGCGGTATCAGCTGGAGATTTTCCACGAGGGCACTTGCCACTTAGAGGCAGTTCCCTCTCTCCCTTGTTCGCTGAGTGGTTTTCTTTCCTTCCTCCCTCCTCCCTCCTTCCCTCTTCCTCCCTCCCTCCCTCCTTCCTCCCTTCCTCCCTCCTCCCTCCCTCCCTTTTCCTCCCTCCCTCCTGCTGCTTGTCCCCAGCCCGTGCCCAGTATGTGCCTGCTTGTACCATACAGGCTCTGGCATGTCCTGTGGGGCAGGCTTGTCCCAGCCCCCTCAGGGAGGCCTTGTTCCTGGGCTCTGGATCAGCATCTGCTTAAGGCTCCAGGAAGCCATGGGCTGCTTTGCATAGGTGCTGGGGGAGGGGGGGGGCCCTGCTCCCATCCACCCCACCCACCTTCTGGAGGAGTGACTCAGCCCAGGCCGTTGGCAGTGAGTGGCTCTGATAGGCACGGTGTCCCAGAGAGTGGTGCTGCTGGGCTGGGCGGTTGCTGGCTGGGGAGTGCCCTGGCCCGGAGGCCGGGATCCCCCCTGCCCGGTACAGGCTGTAACAGGCATGCCAGCTGGGTTCTGGGCCACGGGCAGGCTCAGGGCTGACTCACAGGCCCTGCACGGCAGGCAGGGGAGGGAGCCTGGCACGGGCCCCTGCCACTCCTGGGGCACGGGGGTGGAACCTTGGAGCAAGAGCAAAGGCTAGAAGCCTGGAGCACAAGAACAGGGGAGCCTGGCCAAGGTTTCAGATTTTTGGAGACCCTGACCCCTCTCCCACCCCCGTGAAAGGGGCACACGGTCTCACCCGTCTGCTGGCCTCCCTCATCCTGGGGTGTCAGAGGAACTGTGTGAACACCCTCCCAAAGCAGCAGCTTTAGCACAGGGGAATGGCCTCTCCGGGTGGCCGGCCTGCCCACCCTCACCTGTCACAGCCGTGGCTGGGCCGCGCATCGGCAGCCCTGCCGGCCACAGCACCCTCACCCAGCAATGCCACCACCTCCTGGGCCAGCAGGCCGGTGTCCTGGGGGCCAGCGCAGAGAGCAGCCTGCCTGTGAGGTGGATGGCTCCCCACCCCAGGCAGCCAGTGTGCAGAACAGCCTTGCAATGAGGCCAGGGTTCATCCATCAGCCCTTGGCAAACCCCTAGCCCTGACAGTCCAATCTCCCGTCGCACGGAACCCCTCCAGCCACTGGCCTGCCTGGGGTTCGGGGGCCTGATTCAGCCCATGCCCGGCTGCCACCCTGCCCTCTTGACGTCCAGCTCTGTGCCCACAGCCCATCTTGGTCGGGAGGGGACAGGGCCTCAGCTCCAGGGGTGTGAGCTCAAGCACACCAAGACAGGAGGAGCTAGGTCCTTCTGGGCACAGCCTATGGTGAGGAGGGCGGGTGGATTAAGAAGAGCTGGAGGAAGGGGCCCCTATTCAGGTGCCAGTGGGAGTGCCCCGGGGAAGAGGCAGGATGGGGGCCTCCATGGCATTGTGGCTCCGGAGCCACCTCCCTCTGCAAGTCTGCGGCATCCTTCTCCCTGGCCTCCTAAGCAGGGGCTGAGGGGCAGGCCGGGGGTGCTGGGCTGGGGCTGTTGGGCCCTGCTCCTGCAGGTGGACACCCAGACTGGCTATGGGAGGAGGCTCGTGGGTGGTAATGGGGCGACCGGCTCCAAGGGGATTGGTGCTCATAATTTCCTATAGCGAGCCCTCTGCTTCCTTCCTAGGGGTGGAGGGCCAGGGCGCTGAGGGCTCACCTATTCCACCTGGCTAGGACCACCCACGCCCTCGGGGAGGGAGAGGGTTGTGAGGGCCAATGAGCAGGACAAAGGCGACCTCCCCCATCCCCACAGCCTTTACCCCCCCCCCCCCGGCCCCCGCGCCCAGAGACATGATGCCCCTGGACACCACCCCTTGGCGTTGATCTGGGCTTTTCTGAGAGCTGGGGGGAGAAGAGTGGGGTCGATGTGGGAGCGGGTGGGCTGGCGAGCCAGCTGGGACTGGACTTCCAGCTAGACGCTGGCCTTGCCCGGGGTGGCCATGAGGTAGGCGTGCCCTCGGGAGCAGCGTCAGGAACCTGTGAGTGTGGCCCGGGCCCCGCGTGGTCTCGGGGCAACAGGTCTCTGGGGCCCTTGGGCCTGCTCTGGGGTGGAGGGCGTGGCCCGCGGCGGGAGGGCGTGGCCGGGGCAGGTGGGCGTGGCCGGGCAGGCGAACACGGCCTCAGGGCCCCCCTCTCTCTCTCCCCAAGGGCTGCGCAGGGAACTCCCAGCGCCCTGCCTAGTGTGCGGCTCTCTGCCGCCCGCCGCGGTCCTGCAGGGCGCCTCCTTCGTGCCCCTGGGCGGCGGGGCGTGGACCCCGTGACGCCGAGGACCAGGACGGGACAGACGTGCCCACGCCCCGCGGCCCCTAGAACGTGGCTAGTTTCTTTGGAAACCTTCACATAGATGAGAGACCTTGTATACAGAGCTATTTTAGCGAAATCGTGCAACCTCAGCATGGTATTTCTTATGGAGCCCCCGCCGCATCCCGGTGCCCGCGCCCCACATCCATATATCCATGTACCCCAAAACTCATACCCCGTGCCCCTCCCCCACCAGAGGAGGCTGCCCCTCGTGGGCAGATGAGCATGAGAAGCCTCCCGGCACCCTGGGCTCCTAGGAGCCACCTCCTCTGGAGCCCCTCCTTGCTGGCAGGCACCCCTCCCAGTCTCCCAAGGTCTCGGCGAGGCACTCACTTATTCACTCATTCATTCAACAATAGTCTCGTTGTGCTGGTCGGGGTTGTCTGCACCCAAGTGTCTCCTTCCAACCTGGTGCTGAGGGAAGGGTGTGGAGGGGGTGCCCGCCCTGGGTCAGACCCCTCAGATTCAACCACAGTTGGACTTCTGGGCCCTCTGACCACCAGTGGGCCACTGGGGCTGCAGAGACCCAGGGAGGGTGAGCCCCTGTGGCCTCTTTGGGCTCAGGCTTGGGTGTCCCAGCCCCCCAAGCTTACACGGAACAGAGAGGCTTGTGAGGAGTTGCTGCGGCCAGTTCTTTGTGGACATTGGAGGGGGGGGCCCTAGCCGTCACTTCCCAGACAAGTCGGGGCCCCAGAGGTGGGAAGGGACCTATCCCCACCCCCACTGTGGGCCTTTCTCCACCACGATGGCATGTGGTTGGACCTGCTGGCCACTTCTGGTCACCTGCAGCCCGAACGGACAGCACCTTCACAGTGGCAGGTGTCTCATGCAGCAGGTGGGCCCATCCCGGGGTGGCCACGGAGGGGGTCCTCAGGGCCTGGGCGGCCACATGGCCTCCTTGCTCCCAGGAGAGTCCCTGCCCGTGAGGTCACGTGGCACAGCGGTTCCCACTTGTCTCGCGGCTGCAAGCACCAGCTGTGGCACCCGTCCCAGGCCTCAGAGCCGACGGAGCAAGGCCTGCATCCTCCTTGCCTGGTCTGTGCCCGTGCGGTGGGAGCCCTTTGGGGCAGGACGGTTTCTTCTGACTCACCCCATCTGGCTGACCCAGAGGTCAGGGGTGCTGGAGGAGGGCTAGACCAGGGACAGCGGGAAGATCAACCCTGGCTTTCCTGGGTGAGCCTGGACCTGCAAGCCTGTCCTCAGCACATCAGGCTGGCATCAGGCGCGCTCGCTCCTGGGCATCGTGGCCTCGCGAGCACTGGGGGGCGGGGGCAAGAACTCCGTCCCCTCTGGCTCCACCTCATCAGAGTGTGGGATGGGGTGCCCAGAGCCCAGCAGTGACCCCAGAAGTCCCAACCCACACATGCTGTATCCCAAGTGGGTGCAGGTTGAGGCACTGGCCCAGGATGGAGGGAGGCTGGGGAGTGGGCTCTGGTGCCCAGGCCACAGTGGCAGTAGGGTGGGGACCATGGTTTGGGGTGACGTTTGTTGGCAGGCCCTATTCTGTGGGCCAGAGGCTCCTTCAGGTTACTTCCTGAGTTCGCTCCTGTCTCGGGCCTGAGTCCACTTCAAGGAGCACTCTGGCCCATGCGGCTGCTTCTGCACTGAGAGCCGCCCCCGGGACCTGCCTACATGTGCTGCCCAGGCTGGGGACGATGCCCCTCAGGGTCAGCTCCCCTCCAAACTTGAGGTGCCCTGTTGGGGTTCCAGGCAGATCCTCAGCCATGTATCACTTTATGTGTCCCCCACTCGTGGGATGGTGCCCTCCCAGGGCTAGGGGTGCTCACACCTGCCCCACATGCAGGCTGAGGCTGGAGCAGACGGGGCACCATGAGCTTCCGCCTGCAAATGTTCACGTGTAGAAAGAATCAAATGCGAAAAAAGTGCAGAGTGATTCCTGAGTAGAAGTCGGGCCTCAGGGTGGTGCCCTCTGGGGTAAGGGGTAGCAACGTGAGGGCTGAGCATCTCGAGTCCAGAAGGGTGACGCACACCCTCGGGAAGTGGTGCGGAGCCCCAGATACTGCTCCGGGAGAGGGTTCCCCTGTGGGGTTGGGGCTAGAGCCAGCACTTGCAGGGTGTGGGCACCTGGGAGGACTTCCACTCTTCACCAGCCCACCTGGACTGAACAACCAGGGCCACTGGCCACCCTCTGTCCCCCACCATCAAGATGAGTGCCTGAGACATAGGGGTACACCCAGGAGCCGTGGGGTATGTGGGACAGCGCCCTGCTTCAGCAGCTAGCCCCATGGGGAACCTGGGTACCTGGAGCCCCAGAGACTCAAGGTTCCAGATGCTTCCTTTGGCATCCTAGAAACTGCGTGGGCATCTGGCCAGAGTCTGAAGGCCCCATCGCACAAGCCAGGACCTGGCAGGAAGTTATGGGGTTGTGGTTATGGCCAGCCCACTTGGGCTTTTTTCCATCAGGATGGGGAGTGTCTGCCTCAGGGAGCAAACTCACTCAAGACTCTCCCATTTGTCTTTGGGGCTGGGACAGCAAAAGGAGCAGCTTCCCCAGGGCATCGGGCATCCTCACCCCCATGCACACCAGCCAGATGCTAGCTGGGCCAGCCGTGGTGTTCCTTTCCCTGACCTGGAGCACGTACCAGAGCCTGGCTGTCCCCCAGATTGGAGAATGTGGCCTCTCCTGTTCTCAGGTGAGCTCCTGCCCCCTCCTCGACGCCCATCCTGTGGTTAGGCGGCCTTTCCTGCTCTCACGTGAGCCCCTGAACCTCCTAGACTCTCATCTTGAGGGGGCCCTGGTTCCGCCACAGGTGGGCTCTGGCCTGGCGCCTCAGCACATGAGTAACAGTGACAGGCAAGGGGCGCAGGAGGCCCTGGGGCAGTGGGTGACACAGGGGCCTGGGGTCCCCTGGGAGGTGTGGGGCTGACCCTGGAGCTCTGGTCCAGGGCCTGTTTGCTGAGCGCCTCAGGGGGAAGGGCCAGCTGATGTGCCCGCGACCGGTGCCTCTCCCCAGAGCACCTCACGGCTTCAGTGAGCCATGTCTCATCATCCAAGGTGCTGGGCTTGGGATGGCGTCAGGGCTTGTGTGGACACCCTGCTAAGGAAAGGCTGCAGGAATGTGCTCATCCCGGACAGGAGGGAGCCGTAGGGTGAGGAAACGGTGGCCTCCCGGGACCTTTCACCGCAGGGCAGGCTGACTCAACCTTGCCTGAGGGAGGCGTTCTGGCAGCACCTGCCATAAAAAGGGTTCCTGGGTCCCAGAAGATTGGTCAAGGCACAGTGGGGACACAGCCCAGAAGGTGTCCTGGGGCCACAGGGGGACACAGCAGGGACAGGGGCACAGAAAGGACATGAAGAGCATGGGGTGGAGGAAACCTGGAGCACCTGCTGTGTGCACTGTGACTTCAAGAACCAGGGTTCTAATTGGTACAGTGCACAACAAAACAAAATGTAGGTGGTGATGACTCTTGAGGAAACCAGGGGTGGCCTACGGTGAGGTCTCATGTGTGCCTTTGGGGGGTGGTGCCCAGGCCACCCTGGGGGACACTCGGGGACACCCCATCCTCCTCTGGGAGGAACAGCAGCTCCACAGACCCTGGGAGTGTGTCCAGCAGAGGATCCAGGGAGCTCAGCAAGGGACAGAGCAGGCTTGGGGTGGCCGGGCGGGGGGGGGGGCAGGCAGGGCTTCAGAGGCTGGGGGCCCGGCTCAGATCAGAGGTGCCGGGACCTGTGGGGGGCCAGGAGAGGCTCCCTCTGGCTGCTGGTGGGAACCATGGGTGCAGAGGAAACAGCGGGGTCCAGGTTGGGGGGTGACCTGGGCCCCACAGTGAAGGTGGAGAATGGGAGGTAGCTGCTTTGAGTGCACTTTGCGGGTGGAGTTGATTCCCCTGGGGATCCCGGTGGACCAGGAGAAATCAAGGTGGACTCTAGAACATGACTGTAGGTCTGGGCTGCTGGAGATGTTTCGTGAGGTGGGAAGCCTGCGGGGGGCAGGTTTTGGGGAAGGCAACTTAGTTCTGAAATGTGGGGTTTGAGAAGCCCGTCAGACATGAGAGCTGATGGTAGGGGGCAGCTGGGTGGTGCGAGCGGGACCAGGAAGAGGCACCAGCAGAGGTCCCATGTTGGGGCGGGCTGGGATAGGACAGTCCCCAGACCCAGAGGCTATGAGGAGGAGAAAGAATCCTCAAGGGAAATCGAGGAGAGGTAAAAGGGGAGAGGAGGGCTGGAGGGGGCAGGGCAAGCCGCAGAGGGAAGGGACTCTCTGCCCTGCTGCTGCCGACCCCACAGTTAGGACCAGGCCTATGGAACCTGGGAGCTGCAGCCCTGGGGGCTCTGCTGGGGGGGGGGCTGGGGGAGGGGGAGGGAGCTGGGGGCCCGAGGGGGTGGGGAGGGGCGCTGGAGGCGTTGCCGGAGGGGTTTGGCAGGCGAGGAAGGCAAGGAGCTGATGGGGGCTGCCCCTGAGGGATCCAACTTGAGCTGGAGAAGCCAGAGGACAGACAGCCTCTGGCCTCCCCCACACCTGCACAGAGACCCCTCCAGCCTACAGGTGCCAACAGGAGGACTGTTCTGGGCCTCGGCAAGTCTTCGGTCAAACATTGTCCTCGCTGAACTGACTGGGAGAGCTGGGGGGCAGGGGCAGAAGATCACAGCACCAGCGATGCTTGTGTCAGGGGCAGGGGCCCTGGGTGCTGAATGGGGCCATCAGGCAGCCCTGCCTGGTGGCTTGGGGGGTCCCAGCATCCTGGGCTGTGTGGAGGGGACCGGCCCGGGCAGGCGGGGAGCCAGATGGACCAGGAACCCAGGCAGGTCCTTTCCTCTAGCTGAAGCTGAGGCCTGGGGGCAGCTCTGGTGCTGGTGGGGGAGGGAACACAGGTCCCGCCCCAAGACATGCGCCTGGAGTGCGGGTGGGGGTGTCCCTCCCCACAGACAACCCCCACGCATGGCACGGGAAGCCCCGAGAAGCCCAGCGGAAAACCCCAGGGAGGTGGGGGTGTGGCCACTTCTCTGACCGACCCCCCTCCTGGCCCCTGGGCACGCAGCCAGCCCTCTCCCCTGCCCCCTCCCACTCCCGGCTCCCTTCAAGCTCCTGGTACACCAGGACCCTGGGCCACATTGCCCACAGGTGCTTTTCGGCCTGACTTTTGTCCCTGCTGCTCACTCTTCCTGTGTCCCTGAGAGGAGAAGGTCTGGGCACTGAAAGGCCAGCCGCAGACCACAGACACCAGCCCTCCACTAGACCCCATGCTGCTGCAACTCCAGGGCTGTGGGGGCTCTGGGCACGGGCACAGGGCAGGCCCCGGCGGGCAGGCAGTGCCCCCTGTCCAGGGCACACGCACGCCCTCAACCTCGGGGCAACCAGCAGGACCTCTCTCTGTCTTTGAGCTCTGGGACGGGGGGCACTAGGTTCACGTCGCAGGTAGGATAGTGGATGCCAAGGCTGAGGGAGGCAGTGAGCGTGGCCAAGGACCCCAGCACTGCCCCTCCCTCACGCGCTCAGGACTGCACGTGGGGCCCTGTCCTGCCTTGCTGGGTCATGTCTCTAGGGCTCGTGGGACCGGGCTGCCCCCTCCTGCCCTCCCACCCCTGGGCCGCTGTGCTCCCCGGGACTGCCCAGTCGCATTGAGGAGAGGGTGTCCAGGTGGGCTCAGCCCTTCCATCTAAGCGATGTGAAACAGAAAACAGACCTTGAGAACAGAAACAGAAAACAGATGCAAAACTGGGAGAAGTCCAAACGGTGCGGGGGTTTAGCCATCCCCCACCAGCACCGGTTCCCTAGTTTTCACAGACGCACCATCAGTCTGTAAGATGCCGATGCTTCAGGCAAACTCTCAGGACTATCTTCATGCCTCTTCTGTAAATCTAGCACTGTTGCGAAGTAAAAGGATTTAGAAATGGATGGAGCCGCCAGCCGCGGCATCTCCACAGATCCGAGGGGCAGGATCAGACAGGCTTGGATTCTCCCTTTTCCCACCTGGGTGCCACCGGAAGTGCAGGCCTTCCACTCAGACACCACCCCCCGCCCCCCGGCCCCCGCAAGCTGTGGCGGCTTCCTGGGTCCTTGGAGGGTCAGTTCTCCTCCGGGGAAGGGAGCAGAGGGTCAACATCATTGTTGCTCCTTGTTGCCCTGTGGTGTCGCTGGGGAGTGCGTGCCCAGAGCAATCTGGCGCCCCAGGGCCCCAGCCACCCGGCCCCTGTGGGCTCCCAGGGCGGCCCCCCTGACCTCAGTCTCCCAAATTCGGCTGTGGAGCAGCACCGCCCACCCACCAAAGTGAGGCCTGCAGGCTGGCTGTCCAGCCACCTTCTCGCATGAGCCCCATCTGAACCTGGTGCCCAGTCCAGACCCCTCCCCCACGGGCCCCCTCCCTCAGGCAGGGGGGCAGGGAGGGGTGTGGACTCCAGCCTGGACAGGGACTTTTCACATGCTGTCGCCACCCTTGCCGCGGGCAGCCCATGTGACTTCACCTCCTCAACAAAGCCGCCCCGAACAGGCCTGCAGATTTGCTGCCCCCCAACCCTCCCCCGCTCCTCGGATACCCCTCCCTCTCGCCCCTTCTCAACATCTAACATAGAGTGTAACTTGCTTACATTCTGGATTGTGTCTGCATCTCAGAATGTGGGCTCCTCAAAGGCAGGCTCTTTCCCCACTTTCTTTTATTCCAGAACCCCAGCACCTAATCAGTGTCTAGGAGGTACTCAACCAGTGTTCCCCTAAAGAATGGATGGGTGGGCCCATGCCAGCAGCAGAAGTTGGGAATGTAGTTGGGGCCATGGGGCTCCCCGGGCCATGGGGTCCAGGTCACACCATTTACTGAATGACCAGCATCTGCAGGGCCTTGGGCTGGACTGTGGCACCCCCCCACCCCAGGCCCTTGCCGAGAGTGAAGGGCCATGTGACTCTCCCGGCCGCTGGGGCTCGATTCAGGGGGTAGGACAGAAAGTGGCCAGGCTGACCTCTCACCCTCTCTTTGTTCTGTCCCCAGGGCTTCGACTGCAAGAGCCGAGTGAGCCGTGAGTACATCTCAGGCAGATGGGAACAGGCTGCCTTTCCTGCCCTCCTGCACCCTGGTCAGCTGAGTCACCCCATCCTCCTTGCCACTCCACTGGCCTCCCCTTGCCCGCCTCACAGGATAGAGTGTCCCCCAGATGTCCCTGCCCAGCACCTGGTGCACATGGGCAAGGCCCCCGTTCACGCCCAGCTGTGCACCTGCCGGATAGAAGTCCCACGTTCCTATTTAATCGGAGGACGCCACCTTTTTTTCCAAAGTGGACACACCAGAAATATATATGGAAACCCCCATTTCCCCTTATCAACTTCTGCATTTTCGTCCAGTGCAAAATGACACCCATTTAACTATAGCTTCGTTGTCTTTCATGGCTGCCGCTGCGTCTGTGTGGCCCTGGGGTGGGGGCTGGGGTGGGGGTTTCTGAGGCGAACGTCCCTCCCGAGTGCTCTTGGCTTCACAGAGCTCCTCCCTCTCTTTTCCTCTTTGGCCTCCTAAGGCCATTCAGAACTCTTCCACTCTGATGTGATCATATTTACCAGACTCCTCTTTAAGTGGCTTTACGGATTTGGGGGGATCTTTTAAGAAATTCTTCCACATCCTGAGGTGGCAGGTATGTTTCCAGAGCCGCTGTACTTCTAAAGGTTTTAACATTTGGGTTTCATTTGGCTCTTTAATTCACTAGGGTTTATTTCCACGTGTGGTGTGAGGTAGGGACGCAACTGTAATGTTTTGCTGCCTGGAGACCCATCTGTGGCCGCACCGCGAACTCCTAGCCTGGGTCTGATTTTCCAGCCGCGCGGTGGCTCCCTGACGCCTCTGATCTCAGCTCCTTTCCGGCCCCTCCTTGCTCCTTCCTTTCCTAAACTGTACGGCGAGCGCGGCGACCGTGTGTGCCTGCGTCCCTGAACCCGCAGGTGCAGACTGAGTTGTGAGAGGGTGGCACCGGGGTGCGGCTCGCTCCCGCGCCCCCAGGTGAACGGCCTTACCTGCGGCTGCGCCCGGGGGACGGCGGGGCCCCAGCCCTTGGTGAGCGCCCGCGGGAGAGCGCACCTGACCCCCTCTCCACCCAGACCCGCGGCGGGAGCGGGAGAGCGCACCTGACCCCCCCCCAGACCCGCGGCGGGAGCGGGAGAGCGCACCTGACCCCCCCCCCCCCCAGCCCCGCGGCGGGAGCGGGAGAGCGCACCTGACTCCCTCCCCCAGACCCGCGGCGGGAGCGGGGCGTCGGCGCCCCCTCAGCGCCGGGACCCCTGGTGAGACGGCCCCACACGGGGGAGCTGGGGGTGGCGTCAAGACCGAGCAGAGCGAGGACGACAGAGGCAAGAGACGAGGTACAGACGGACGTGGACAGAGAGGTGGAGGCGTGGGGGACGGGCTAAGCAACCCGCGAAGCCGTCCCGCCCGCTTCTAAACGCTGCGCGAACACGACGGGAGGGGGCGCTGTGCGGCTGGACAGGCGGCCAGAACCGAGCCTCCCGCTTTCTGAGCTCCGACGGGACGGAATCAGCGGAATGGCATCCAGGACAAATTCCAGACAGTTCATGATCATGAAAAACAGAAATAACATCCCAAAGACTATGGAAGTGCACCAGAAAGGCATGCTAAAAAATCCCCAAACTGTAACATTTCATTTCAAAATAGCTTTCAATACTCACGAAAATGATGTATATGAACAAAAATTAGAAATTCTCGGAAGTGAGGTGACAACACACAGAATTAGAAATAAAGGAAAAATAACTTCAGAAATGAAGACTACATTAGAAGAACCCAAGAGTGAACGGACCAAATATTAAACATCCGAGAGAAACACAAGAAGAGAAGGAGGACATTTTTAAAAATAAAAAGAAATGAAAGAAAAAAGATTAAAATGATGTTTGAATAAATGGTAAGTGTTGCAGATAGGCCAAGAATGTCCAAAATACAGATGCTGAAGAAGAAAACTAAGGCGACAGAAAAAATACTAAGAACTACAGTTCTCAGGAGACTAAAAATTTTTTCTTGAAACTGGGTATTTTAAGGGTAAACCAAGGACCCAAGAATATGGATCCTGAACATGAAACACCAAAACATATTCTAGTAAAATGACTGGATCTTAAAGAGAAAGAGAAAAATCTTTTTGGGCATGTAGCAAAAAGAGCAGACAACTTACAACACTAGGAACCTCCCTACTGTCCAGTCTGAGGTCCTCAAACAAAATTTCCCAGCAAAAGAAACCAGGCAGGGCTTCCGAGAGAAGTGGCTGACTCCCAGCCTGGGGCAGAGAGTGTACAAGAAACGTCTGCCATACCAGAGAGCACAGAGGCTCTCAAAGGGGGACGTCTGCCATACCAGAGAGCACAGAGGCTCTCAAAGACAATGGTACATGTCAGCAGCCCTTGGGGGGCTCCCGGCCGGCTCCGACAGAGGAGCAAGGGACTCTTGATCTCGGGGTTGTGGGTTCTAGCCCCAACCTGAGTGTAGAGAACACTTAAAAATAAAATCTTAAAAAAATTTAAAAAGTCCTTGGAGACAACCTCAGGAAGCTCCCGTTAGCCAAGAGGCTCATATGAGCTTTAAAAAAAACAAAAACAAAAACAAGAATTGCAATAAATTGCAACCCATGGGTAAACCCATGTATTCATGATGATCTTGTTTTTTAAAAATAAAGGGAACTCTTCACCTTCTGTGGATGACAGGGAACCAACTCATCACCTTGAAAACTGGGAATCAAGCCTTGATCCTGTCTTTCTTCTGGGAATGCCACCTTGGAGTAAGTATTCCAGCTGATAAGTGGAAACAAAATGGTAAAATTATATCACTGTTTTGCGTCTCCCAATGGCTTGAGTGCTGGTGACAGCTAACATCAAACATGGCGGAGGTCCAGACACAGCATGCCGCCTCCAGCAGGCATTTGACACCAGCGCTAGTCCTGCCAAAGGACTAGACCCGGAGCTCAGTCAGGCCTCTGGGTCCTGCTGCCCGGTTGGCCAGAAATACAGGGGTCTGAAGATGGGTGCTGAGCTGCACCCCGAGGACGCCTGGCAGTTCACAGAGCCTGATTCTGCAAAGGAGGAGGAGATGTGGAGGCAAAGCGGCAGACCAGAAAGGCCAAGTTCGAAAAATAGGCAAAGCCTCAACTCTAGTGCATGAAGAGGCACATCTGGGTGATGAAACCATAAAGAAATATAAAGAAGTCTTTACTGTAGAAGTCAGCATGCTGGTTCTGGAGTGAGCGAAGGGGCTTTTGGACTAGCTGGGGACCGGCTGTCTGGCCCATCTGCTCTGTAATAATTCACAAAGCTATGATTTTTTGGTGAGCTTTTCAGTATCTAAATTTCATTTTTACAATAAAAAGCTTTTTAAAAGGGTCTTAGCATTTTGTATGCCTTCACTTCTTCAATATGAATTTTTGATTGTCAAGTTTACTGAGAGTTTCAGTATGTATTTTCCAATGTGTGTCTTGTTTTAAGATGTATTTATTTATTTTGGAGAGAGAGAGAGAGAGAGTGTGTGTGAGCAAGGGGGGCAGGCAGAGGGAGAGGGAGAATCCGAGCAGACTCCCAGCTGAGTGCAGAGCCCACGGCGGGGCTCGGTCCCAGGACCCTGAGATCATGACCTGAGCCAAAATTGAGAGTCAGATGCTCAACGGACTGAGCCACCCAGGTACCCCCCCATTTTTTAGAAAAGGATTTATTTATTTATTTATTTATTTATTTATTTATTTATTTATTTATATTTTGGAGAGAGCCAATGTGTGTATTTTTTAATATCACCAAGCAATTAACTCAGTTCCAAGTTACGTAGACCATCGGTTTAGCCTCAGAGCCCACAGGTTAGGGACTTCGTCCCACAAGACTGCCCCCCAGCTTCAAACACCAGCAGCAAGTAACCAACTGGCTACGGATCAGAGGCTCCCACGACCCCTCCTTAGGTTCAGTTACTTTACTGGATTGGCTCACAGAACTCAGAGCGTCATTTTACTTGCCAGGTAACCAGTTTATTATAAAAAGATATAATTTGAGAAAAACCAGGTAGAAGGGATGCGGTAGGGCAGGGACACCCCTATGCCTCCTGGGGCTGCCACTCTCCCATCTCCACATGCTCACCAACCCAAAAGTGCTCCAAACCCTGTCCTTCAGAGTTTTTATGGAGGCTCTTATGGAGGGTTTTACTTAGGCACGATCGATAAATTCATTGGCCATCGGTGATTGACTGGACTTCTAGGTCTTCTCTCCTCCAGAGAGGTCATCATATGGTTGGTTTCCCTGGCAACCAGTCCCCATCCTTAGGGGCTTTCCAAAACTTACCTCATAAACTCAGGTGCGGTTGAAAGTGGTTTGTTATGAACAACAAAAGACACTCTCCTGGCTCTTAGCTCTTGGGAAATTCCAAGGGTTTTAGGATCCCTGTACCAGATAATGGGCACAGACCAATATGTATTTCTTATTATAAGTTACAATATCACACATTTTTATCAGACTTGCACTGAATACATTGATTAATTTGAGACAGAAATGACATCTTATCAGACCTGAGTCTTCCAACCATGAACATGGATGGTATGCCTTTCCAACTGTTTAGGTCTTCCTCAAAGCTTTTATTATGTTCTTCAGAGGTTGAAGGATAATGTGAATGGTTTCTTTATTTTATTATGTTTTCTGGTTGGTTTTGCTGGTGTAAAGCAATGCTATTTTGGTATATTGATCTTGTATCCAACACATTTGTTAAAAACTCTTTGTTATTTCTTTTTTTTTTTAAGATTTTATTTGTTTATTTGACAGAGAGAAACACAGCAAGAGAGGGAACACAAGCAGGGGGAGTGGGAGAGGGAGAAGCTGGCTTCCCGCGGAGCAGGGAGCCCGATGTGGGGCTCGATCCCAGGACCCTGGGATCATGACCTGAGCTGGAGGCAGATGCTTAACGACTGAGCCATGCAGGTGCCCCAACTCTTTGTTATCTCTAATAGAGTTCCCATTGAGTCTCTTAAGATTTTGTACATAGATAATCACGTATTCTGTAAATGAT